ATGTCCAACGTTCTTTTGTTTGTATATCTAGTCCAGGCATTCAATACTCTGGGTGACTGACTTTCCAATGTTTGAGTGGAATGATTCAGAACAGAGATTTGAGGTATGTATGGTGCCTAGAATTATCTTCCATGATATATGTGCACGACTAGTCCATCAGTCATTTTGCTTCTTGGCCTTAGGTGGTTTACTTTTGAATATCAAAGAGAAGTAAAATAAGCGAGCCCAAGGTGTCCTTTATTATTGTGAGGTATAGCCGTATAGAAGTAAAATAAGCGAGCCCAAGGTGTCCTTTATTATTGTGAGGTATAGCCGTATAGTGCCCTTTTAATGATGCAAGAGGTCCATGAAAGAAAATCACGGAAGAACTCAATGTTTAATTATCAAAGGAAAGGATTAAGGAGCACCAAAAGATCTCAATGTTTAATTATCAAAGGAAAGGATTAAAGAGCACCAAAAGATCTCAATGTTTACATATAATGCTACTGCTTTAATAGACTAAAAAGAACATTTAATGCTACCGCATACTTGGCTCGTTTGTTGGTGAATATGAGCTTCACAATTATTTTATGTGGTATTGCTCTTACCTGTTACAACCTTACTAGCTGGAGAGATACAACCCTCATGTTTTCAATGGCCAAAATAGTTTATCATGATCCTACCCTGATTTTCTCTAGTATGCATTCCTTTTTCAGTACCTCAAAACTCTACATATCAAGATCTAGAAGGCGCAGGTCAATAAATCCATACCAATCACGAATTCTACCTCTAGAACTCTCACCAGTAGCATAATATTGGCATGCGATGATTTAAATGGAGTATTATAGGCAGTGGGGATTCATATAGCCGGCCTAACTTGTTTGGGATTGAGGCGTAATTGTTGTTGAATAAGAAATGTGACAACAACCCAAGATTCTAGATTCTAGAAGTTTGTATTTCGCTGCTTTTGATATTATGAGCAAATTAGTGCCTTACATTAATTGTTAGGACTTTGGACTGATCTAGTAAGGATATCCTTGATTTTGCATTTAAGTTGTTTCAATCAAATAGTGGCATTTTTCAAGAAGGGGAGCCTTGGAGTAACGGTGAAGTTGTCTCCGTCTGAACTTTAGGTTACGGGTTCGAGCCGTGGAATCAACCACTGATGCTTGCATTAGAGTAGACTTCCTACATCACACCCCCTTGGGGTGCGGCCCTTCCCCGGACTTTGCATGAACGCGGGATACCTCGTGCGCCGGGCTGCCCTTTTAGTGGCATATTTCAAAGACTAATCTGTTTCTCGGTTATGATATCTCGTTAAGTGAAGTGACCACAATTTTCCTACAGGCCTTGCATCATCCTTTCACCGCACCTAATCCAGACGATATAAATGACCTCTCTTCTGCCCGTGCCTTAGCTTATGACATGGTTTACAATGGAGTTGAGGTACATGAATTCATGCTCTCTTTACTAGTTGCTTCTGTGAGAGAAGGTAATAATGTGATGGAGATAAATTATGTTCTGTTGTTACCTTACATCTTGAATTAGATTGGTGGAGGAAGCTTGAGAATTTACAAGCGTGAAGTCCAAGAGAAGGTTCTCAATATTGTTGGCATTTCCCGAGAACAGGTAAGCTGACTCCTTTGGTTTGCATTGCATTTGGTGGTTGTCCAGTTTTATAGAATACTCCAGATATGCACTCTTTTTGTTTGTGGCAGGCTGAAGCAAAATTTGGCTATCTTTTGGAGGCTCTGGACATGGGTGCTCCTCCTCACGGTATTGCTGAATTCTTTCTGTTGTTTGACACTTTATTTGTTCTGCTAATCAAATGTTACAGAGTTTTTATACAACAACAACAACAACAACCCAGTATAATCCCACTAGTGGGGTCTAGGGAGGGTAGTGTGTACGCAGACCTTATCCCTACTCTAGGGTAGAGAGGCTGTTTCCGATAGACCCTCGGCTCCCTCCCTCCAAGAACTCCCCACCTTGCTCTTGGGGTGACTCGAACTCACAACCTCTTGGTTGGAAGTGGAGGGTGCTCACCACTAGAGCAACCCACAACCTCTTGGTTTTTATGTGAATACTATATTATGAAGAACTACCTTCCCTATCCGCTATGACAGATATAGCTGGATTTAAACTTCTATAATGTCATGGTGATCTTTTCTCATGATTTTCGGTATGGCATTCATTGATGAAGTAGTCCTAGACCCCTGGCCTTGAGGAATAGATCTGTCCCTTTGTAGCCAAAGGGACAGCTACTGCTATTGATTCTAAAGTGGAACCTCAAACCTGAACTGGAACGAAATTGGAGCTTTTCTCCCCAGGAAATTTCCTTGGTGTACATGGTAACAGTCCTGATCTTACCTAATTCCTTAAACTATTTTTAGAGCAGTTGCTTCTTCAGGGTTATAGTTTCTATTATGATGTTATTTGGCCTGAGAAAATCTTGCTTGGTTCGTGTGGGTGGTACTTAAAATATGAGATTGTTGCAGGAGGAATTGCTTATGGGTTGGATAGATTGGTGATGCTCTTGGCTGGCACTAATTCCATCAGGGATGTTATAGCTTTTCCAAAGACAACAACTGCTCAATGTGCCCTTACTCGTTCACCATCAGAGGTCGATCCACAGCAGCTTAAAGATCTTTCATTACAGAAGATGTAGGTTCTTGATTTGTTTTAGGAAGTACTGTGTACTGGAAAAATTGGAAAATCAAAAGGAGATGGTGGCTAGCTGGGGCAGGGGTAAAGTCCACAGATGTTGGAGGAAATCCCTGTCATTATGGCGACATTGTTATCCTAAACAATTTTTATTGCAAGTAGAAAAGGCGCCATCATTCCCCACAGTTTCTTTGAAATATTACATTGTAGCACCAAAATCATTAGGTTCCAGTTTTCATAGCTGAGAGTAAAGATGTTACTCTGATTTTCTGAATATCTGCTTTGTTGACATACTGATAAAGGAAAGCGAGTCTTTTTAATAATGTAGATAATTATTTGACCTTGGAATATTTGGTGAAGTTGACTTATACTGTTGTCTTGCCCGAGTATTAAAGTAAAATTTCGATCTTTTTTATTTCACTTGATTAGGATTTTGTCAATTTTTTTTTCTTTTGTATTATTTTTCGTTGCTGATGAGTATTATTTTTCCTCATAAAATGCTAATCCTAATCCTAATGCTAATCCTAATCCTAATCCTAATCCTAATCCTAATACTCACGACAAATAAAAGAATTTGTAATAAAAAACCTAAGCTTTAACGTGAAATAAATTATAACTTTTATAAATCTAAATGCCCTCGTACACTTGATGTCACACACA